TTAAAATGTCACAAAGTACACAAAACAAAACCAGGTTCAGACCAAGAAAGTGTCCTAAAATTCTCCAAACCATGAAATTTAACCCGCATTCTTTACAAATAAGAACAGATGACTCTGCTGATAAAGTGTTTGTCTTATGAACATCAGGACCATAGTTTCACCCTCAGAACTAAAGTAAAGATACTCGCAAAGTTATGTACTTGAATCCTATCACTGGGAAAGGAGATAAAGGAAACCTTCGGTCATTGACCAGTTTTTTAGCCTATATGATGAGATTCATGTCAGTGAGATAACACTAGATAAGGTCTATAACATTTCTGAGAATGAAATCAAGGATGTTGTCTGGCATCTGTTTCTACACACACACACACACACACACACACACAAAGACATAGAAGGAACTGACCATGTCAAAATCAAATGACCCTTCCTTCATTTTCAATACTTATCTAATACACATTTGTGTGTATGTAAGAGCCTCAGCCTCACATCAGAACACCAAAGAAAATCTATCAGCATCTAGTTCTGTGTAGGACCACAGAGAAAATTGTCTATGATTTTTCTCATTGGTGATTTAAAAGAAATTAGAAATGAAAAGTGGATCCTTAAAGCTATAATATGAATTTCTATGATTTACACACAAACTAGAGGGAAAAATCATGGTAAAAGAAAATGGACTTAATTTTCTGCCTTGTGATTGAACTAGGGGACAGACAAAAGTGTCATTTCCTACTTGCATCCATGCCTGGGGTCATCTTACATTTATAAAAGTTTGTGAGACACAGTCATGACATCTAAGTCTGACTCTGAGTCAGAATAACCAGACTTCCTGAGAGTTAGATACTGTGGGCCCCGGGCTATCTCTGTTCTCTACTCTAGATGCATTTTTGTGGTAGAGTTTAAACTCACACACAATGGATTTGCAGAGAATTTTTTCTCTTATAGCCAAAAAATGGAAATTTCGTATTATTTTTTGGATTGAGCTATAGGATATCCTGCATTGCAAAATTTATAGAAATACTAAAGTCTGCTGTGAAATGAAAGGTGGGCAACCTGATAGTCAAATGGTATGGCATACTGAGTGTTCAGTATATGTTCTATCCCATCAGAACTCAACCACAGGATGATGGTTACAGTAGATATTTTTGATAATTTTAGCATTAAAGCAATTAAAATTGGATGAACAAAGGAAAGTCAGACACTTTGGTCATTGGATGCTCAGTGGTACTTAGCTTTCAGTTAATCAGGTACTAAGGGAAAATGTATCTCTTGGTATAAGAATAATAAAATTGAAGAACCATGCAGAAATATGTTTACAGGATAGTTGAGGGTATTTCTTTCAGTGTGGATAGTAAAGGATTTTGTGTTGTGTGTACAAAGAAAGATGATGAGAAGAAAATTACTCATCTGTGGGTCCTGTGAATAAATAGATTTAGTAAATAAAAAACCTGTAATCACCAGACCCATCAAGCTCATACATGTCAGTACACATAAGGCAGCTATATAGGTGACGGGCAGTGTATAGCATAACAGAATAGGATGTGGTCCTACTTTATATCTTAATTGTCCAAAAGTTACCTCAAATGATTTCATCTGGTTAGAGTGAATTACCATACATGATGCTAGGATGAGGTAACTGTAGGAAAAGCCAAATGGTGATAGATTATAGAAAATTAAATAGATTAGAGTCTTTCATATATGCTCAGATGATTGACTGCTTATCTTAGTATTTGATAAGTCTTGAGCCTTTTCATTTTGTGCTAGTCATGTTAAAATCTTGGTACTCTCTAGATTCTCCATGTCAATTACAGTTTCATTCTCTGGCTAGGCTCTCCATGATTTTTTGATTTGAGAAATAATCTGGAAGACAATTAAGATTGTAGTTTAAAAACTCAAGCCCACAACCCTACCTTAGGCTCCAACAGACTTCAGTGTGTTAAACCATCCTGAGACATGATAGCACTTCACTGCCTTGAAGATGGAAACAAGACAAGCTCCAGTACCTATTGAGCATTGCTGAACCATCAGACAGCCACCACTCAGCCGGTGCCTTGAGGACCAAGAGTCTGAGTCTCAACAATGGACAGTTCACATTGCCTGACCCAGTTGGCTTCTGCTACATCTTGGAAAATAGTCCCAGCAAAGCTTTGACACAGCCATCTCCTGACCTTTATTACCTCTACCCAGGCTCCTTTAAAAAGCCCAGCATATCGAAAGTCTTTTACCCAAGCACCCAGCATCTGGGTGGTAGGAGCACTTGGCTTCCTCCTCAATCCACTGGGCCTGCTTCTGGCATTTTCCCCTCCAGTTTTTGAGATAGGGTTTTGTCTAATCTACATTTCAGGCCACTATCTCTTTACTTCAACTTTCCAAATACCAGAATTTTACATGGCCCTGCTGTGTCTGACTGGCATAACGATGGAGATAATTCCCCACCCTCCTGGGGCTTCCACCCTTCTGGGGACAATAAAACAATAAAACGAATTTTTAAACACACACACACACACACACACACACACACACACACACACACACACAAAAAGATGGTAGTTAAGTAGTTTGTGGGTTGTGTGAAGGTAATCAGCAGACATATGAAAAACCATTCCAGTTACTAGAAGTTTATTGGATCAGATAATAGTGTGGTTGGTGGTAATGAAATAGAAGCACTCAGTGTGTGGCAACATGGTACCAAAACACACTATGCTGTCTCTGTCCCAGAAATTGTCAACAACTGTATTATTCAACCCCATGGGAAATCCATAAGGAAATCTGTCAAGGTACAAATAAAAGCTGTAGATTCCTTCCAGACTAATGTGGTTTGTTCAAGCCAGACTGCCTGAAACAGAGTACCAGGTGATCCTACATTCAAAACAGCTGGACAAAGCAGCCTTACAGACTACAGCCAGGATATCCGCATCTTCTTAAAATCCCCCATGACAGTGCCCCTTACCAGCAGGAAGTAGTTTGGAAAGAAAGACGCCCAAATTCCCAAATATTGTCTATAAATGTTTGTTTTCATTAAAATGGACTTGGTTAAATAAAATAAATAAATAAAAATAAATAAATATAATGAAATTAGAAGGAATAATGAAGGAAACTATCGGACTGGCTCATTTCATTTAAGATGTTTATTTCCAGTTAAACATTTATTTTCCTATAAAAATAATAGTAAATTTAGAAATCTAACATTACAGTTAGAGTTGAAATGATGGCCTTGTCCCAGTAATTGTCAACAACTGTATTATTCAGCCACATGGTAAAGCCACGAGGGAATCTACCAATGTATATCCAAGAGTAAATCTAGGCTAAGAGTTGACTTGCAATCAATAGCTCTCTTGTCTGATTAAAGGGCAACCCAGAAGTACCAAAACCACATGCTATAGAACTAGGTACCACCAAGGAGGTTATTATCCTTTCTTTTGTTAAATGGATGTGATGTACTAAATGTTTGTATGTAGGTTACTGGAACTGTGACCAACATTGTTGAGAGGAACCTTTTAAAACATTTGGTAGTTGTCATAAATTCATGTTTTGTTACATTCATGAGAATAACTGACTCCCGCTGTGGTACTAAAGCTCAAAGTTGAGAAAGAATAGAATGTATTTACCACCCAAAAGGTGGCAGAAAGAACAAAGTTCCTGAACTAGGAAAACATTATTAGGGAATAAGCACATTACTCCTAACAGAAATGACTATGAGTCATTATGGAACAGAGAAGTCTTTGATTTGCAAAATTACTTGAACCCTAGAGATAGCATGACAAAAAACAAAAGAAACCACACTGAAGTAAGATTGGTACAAGTAGAGTTAATACTCCCTGAAGGAAGAGACTCATTGTGCTATACACATTGCTTCTTGTGCTCCCCTACAACCCCCCCACCAAGCTCTGCTTGGCTTTGGGTATGTGAGTATATATAGGAGGTGGAAAACTGGCTTAAGGCAGCACTCAGGTGAGACAGCTTTCCTGAGCTAGAGGTCACACCATTGTGGTGGAAATTCTCACAGATGCAGTTGACATTGACTCAACCATGCTCCCGTAAGTGACATTCATCTGTGTTTCTTTAAGAGAGCTTTATGTGAGTAAGATGGGTTTGTATATTATCTTTTCAATATTTATATCATTGCTATAGTCTGCAGAGAACTGATATTTGTCCAATGTATCACCTAATTCAAGCCAAGGGAGCTGAGACTTTTATACAACAGCAGTGATCAGTGGATCTTGAAATAAGTGGTTCTTGAAATAAGGGAATTATCGATTTTTGTTAATACATGGCAATGTCCGAAGTTGTTTTCCAATGTCTTATGTTTTTACTATCAAGTAAATGGAGACAATGTTACAGGAATCTAACTGAACCATCTTCTAATGCACAGGTCATCTTCCAGAAAAATAAAGAGGCTGATAAAAAATGAAAAGATTGCTGAAATTTAGGACTTTGAATTTATTGAAAACATTTTTGTTTTTTATTTATTTATTTTTTGACACAGGGTTTCTCTGTATTGCTTTGGGGCCTGTCCTAGAACTAGCTCTTGTAGACCAGGCTGGCCTTGAGCTCACAGAGATTCTGTGCCTCCTGAATGCTGGGACTAAAGGCATGTACCAACATTGGTCTTATTTCCCCAATACAGAATAAGGAACCTAATGGTGCTTGCATAGGGTTGAGCATGCCTAGGTCTCAACCTGCCTATGGCTTGGTGCTGCTTTGTGACATGCAAAGAACTGGAGGGTTAATCTTCTGGGAGAAAAAGCCATTACCTTATCTGAATAGATTTCCCCTCCTACATAGAAAAAGAAGGGGGGGGGGAAATGGAAACTATAATTATTTGGGTTACCAGGGTTTGGACCTGTATCTGCTCACTTTACTCAGCCATAATAATGTTCAGTTACAAAATCTAACATAAGCAATGACAGCAAGTTTGGTTCTTTACCATTTCATTGTATGCCAAATAAAATGGCAAAAGAAAAATTAAAAGCATGTGCATGCTAATCACCTTAAGTCTTGGGTAATATTTAAAAGAATAATCAATTATCCAAAGACAAAATTTATTAAACAAATTGGAAAATCAGCTTACATCTTCAGGATATTAAAATATGCAAAGTGATGAATTAAGGACTCTGATTTCAGATTCATCACTGTTCCAAATGTTTTCAGGTTTGGGAACCTGAACAGTGAAAGGTGAAGGATCACCTACCTCCCAAGGTGTGAACTGTAAAAACGTATCTCCCTATATTCTCCCAGTGGAAATAGCATGTGCCCAACTTCAGTTGTACAGAAGTGAGTTGGCACAGGTCCTTAGAAGCGATAGGATAGTGCTTACCACACAGGATAGCTCTTGGAAACTCTAGTCATCTCACAATCTTTTCTCTGTAAAGCAGGGAAAGCCCTGTTGCTGCTGGTGTCAAGCCTGCTTCTTTGGGAACATGTGATCTCCACATCAGATGACCAGAGGTCCAATGAAGAGCTGAGTTACAAATTGCTTTCCATTTCTCATCGCACCCGTATAGTTGCCCGAAAAATGTATAAAATTTTAGTAAGTACCTCACTTATTTCAGATTCTTCTCTAAAGCGATTGTGAGAAAACTCTTCTTTTAAACCATAAAGCATCATGAATCAAATTTCAACTGATATGTAATAGAAAACACTAACCATTAAAATGGAGATGAGGGAATATAGAAAGTTTTGTGAAATTACAAAGATTTGTAAAGAAGGCAATGATTTTATTCAAAGTTTCCTTTAAGAAACCTTAAAAATAAGCATTTTTTAATCAAATTTCTACTTTGAATATTAAGCCCAGAAAAGTTTATCAGATAGGAGCTGTGGTTTCCTGGTCATTTTTGAAGAATACCTCTGTGGACATTTTTCATAAAGGGTTCTATAGATATTCAAGGCAGGGCACTGCAGGGCAGTGAATTATTTGGAAAATATAAAACTAAAGTGATCTGTAACCCTGTAATGTGGAAAACAAATAGTAGGTGTTCATTATGTAAGATTTCTGGTGGTGAATGGCTGATTAATATAGGAGTATTGGTATAGAAAGGAGTATTTCCTTTCTTCCTTGTGGAGATAAACATTTTAGGTTTGCTTAGGTGAGTAACTACAGTGAAAACAATGGAGACAGTACAGAATTAGGAATATGAAGCATATGTCTGTAGGGTTGTAGTGAATATAGCTTCTCATTGTCATTTTCACTCATGTATGTTTTTTTCATTCTTTCTTCACTCATAATCTTTCAAATACAGTGTTCCTAAGAATCCACTGATTTTATAAATTTGATGATTGTTACTATTAATTACTTATATTTGAAGTAATAAATGCCTCAATTCAACATCATCTTCAGTTGCTTGGTATAGTCACATTAAATGCTATTTTGTGAATTCTACCATCATTCATTGCTTAAACACTTCTTAAAATATATCCAGATTTTTTTATGTTGAAATTTGATAACATTAATTCAACTGAATCATAAATTTAGCACAAAGTGTGTATGATCCATCTATAATTCCATTTTACTTGAGGAAATGGTATAAATTTGCAGTTACCTACATAAGAGTAGTATATCTACTTGAGTCAATAGGAAAAAATTATTCATAAATATCAATACAATGGGACTATTTGATGGTACCCAACTCAAATCCTCCAGAGTTCTGATATAAAAAAAAAAAAACTAAATATTTTTGGATTAGAGTAGTTCTTATTTCTTTCAAAACAAAAATTTTCAGGAATGGCAAAACACATTATAGTGAACAAGAGTTGAGTTTATGAGGCCAGGACATTCAATTGCATATTAAATAGAAAGAAAAGGGAGATATGCTACATTTGTTTCAGTCCTTTATTTCAATGTTTATGTAGTCCTTATGTGATAAAATTGAACATCTATAAAATACATCAATAATCTTGTCATTGATGTGTTTATTCTATTCTGAAAGTATAAAGACTTGAATTGTTTCATTTTCCCCAGGATGCAAAGTTATCCAAAGGAAGATGGTTTAAGAAGAGTGGAAATAACACCTGCCACACTGCTTCCTACCCCACGCCAAAAAAAGTAGGTTTTCCTCCATGTTATTTACCAAAGCAACTTTAGCAACTCTGGCTATATGTGCTAAGTGTGATTAGTGGGGCTAAATCAGTCACAATAATCTCAGATCCAATAGAATGAAGAAAAAAGGATCCGGCAGAAAAACATTCTGCCACACAGTAGGTAACGCATACACTAAGTCAAATGCCAGCTTATATTGCAACAGATGCCTAATTTTCTCATGTAGAATATTATTTTGCCAGCACTTTGCTAGTGGGATTAATTTCTTTTAATCTGAATTAGATATTAATTGTTAAATATACATCCATGCATATGTGGAAGAAACCAAATACAATGGTGTTTATCATATAATTCTAAAGTCTCCTTCTCCATCAGCAGGCAACTTAAATTGCCAGTGTGCCATATATTTTTAAGGTTTGAAATTCCCTTGGTCTTATTTCTGTTTCATTATTTTTTGTAGTGCTCCCTGAGTGATTTACTTTTTCCTGTATCTTAATTGAAAATCAGCTGAACAAGAGGGTTCTCTGCATAATGTATTTGTATCTCAGGATAACCTTTATTTTGCTGGGGTTTTTATTTTCAGTAGCTCTAATATGTGATTGTTGTATCTCTCCCTTTAGACTCCCAGTCATAGTCAATCTTTTGTGATATAAATTAAAGCTTTTTCATGCATACCTCTCATATATATTATGAATTCTATATGATGTTATTATTAACACCAATAACCCATAAAACTGTACTTATTAAAGTGTAAATATAATAATAGAAATTAAAGAAAAAAGACATGGGGAAGAGAAGTTTTGCACAGATCTACTTTCAATACACTTCCAAAAGCAGTATGTTGGTGCTGACACATGTATTAAACACAAGCATTTCTCTAACATGATACACTATTAGAAAAATAATGAACTAAGATTCAGAAAGTTTATAATTGAATTTGTAACTCTTACATGTCATTAGAAAAAATAAGGTGAGACAGTGGTTGTGCATGCCTTTAATCCTAGGACTAGGGAGGCAGAGGCCAGCCTGTCTACAAAGCAAATCCCAGAAAAGGTTCCAAAACTATACAGAGAAACTCTGTCTCAAAAACAAACAAACAAACAAACACCCAAAACAGAAAACCAAATGACAGCAACAAAATGTAAGACCTAATTAGTATTATGCTAGCAAATATGTTTCAATGACTTAAATTTTGCATTTCTACAATGTATATCATGTTCCAAGAAACATTTTATGTATTTATTACTTATAAATCAGTATTACAAGTTTTTGTCTTTATGTAAGTACACAGTGTATCTACCATGCTGTTTTGCCTACTCAATTCAATGTTCAATCTGATTGTTAGACTGAAGACATTCTGAAACTGATCATCAATGTTTCAAGTGCCTGGAAGTACCCACTGAAGCTACTAACACCTGCAACATTGACTCACTTAGAGTCCTATGATGGTATGCTGGCAAGAGCCATAGAGGTTAAATATGGAAATGATGAAATTCTGGCAGCAGCCAAAATTTTACTCAGCAGGGTAAGCCATCTCTTCACTTTTTTTTGATCATGCTATGTGTGAAAGAGAAATTAATTTTTGAAAACTTCATCTCCAAGAGTATCCAATATGTTTACAACCTTTCCAGTAAGGGAATCACATACAAAAACAACTTCATAAAGTTCTTTACTGAGAATCCAACACATAAGTGATCTAAGAAGAAAATAGCTGCTCTTCATAGTAATTTGGGCAGAATCTTTGCTGGATGGAAGGGGTACACCTGCCTAACCCAGAATAGCTTAAGACAGTCATGCTGTGCCTCCTGCACCTTAACTCATTAAAGGGAATGCTCATCATGTCTAAGATTAGGAAAAATATATAATATAGAGAATGCATTTAGTTGCATGGCGAAGAAATAAGGACATTATACCAGAACCCATAGCAGTATGGAGAGCAGAACATGGAAATTACTGTAGACATGTAAAACTCTCCTAAATGAAAGGACTGACACCATTCTCCCCAATGTACTTTGGTTTAATGCATATCTACAGCCACATAGCCACTTTCCAGTTCTCCCTTTGTCTAATATGCATGCATATTCCTCATTTGGGATCAATGGCACTTCCAAAATAGTGAACACCTACTTCTCTTCTAGTTTTGTGTGCTAATGCCTTCATGATACCTTTGCTTAGAAACCTAATAAGACACAATTGTGATTAATTCTCTACGCTTACCTATTCTTGCCAACTTCATTCAAAACATAGAAGCACTGTGCATCAGGACTGTGGATATTGCTCATGTCTGTGAATGCCTTCTTTGCATGTGTGAGGACCTAAGTTTGATTATAAAATCCTTATCAATAAAAGATGATGTGTGAATTTTCCTTGTAGTTCCAGCACTGGGGAGACAGAGACAAGCAGATTCCTGGTGTGTTCTAGATAAAATTAAGAGAACCTATTAAAAAGGAACAAAATATCAAAAACAAACAGTAGTAGAATCCATCCAAAGAACTTTATCCAAGGTTGACCTTTGATTTCTACTTGCATGTATATATGTATATATGCAAATCCACATACATTTATATATGATTCCCCATACACATGCATACTTGCAAAAGGAATGAGGACCAACTATGCCTACAAGTTCATAATACCTGTCGTTTTATGTTTAGATTCAGCCTGGATTTAAAGAATATATCTATCCTAAATGGCCAGAACTAAAAAAACTAAGGTCTTCCAATGAAGAAACTCACCTGTTTGCATTTTATAAACTCTTCTATTGCCTAAGAAATGATACACAAAAAATTGACCGCTATCTGAAGATCCTGGTGTGTCGAATTATCAAAACCTACAAGTGCTAAGTATAGATACATGATATCTGCTGCTGAGATGGCCCTTGATGAATGAAGCAGACCTTCAGTGCTATGAAAATCCTAATCTACTACATTTTTTTAAATAAAATAAAATATGATTCATTAAAAATGCGAATTTGGAGGAAGTATTTACTAATATCTTGTGTTCACTAAATATAAATTAGAAACATCATTGCAATATTTCTGTACAAATTTCACAAATTATCGAGTTTTTGAATGAAAGCAAGATAACTGAAAATTTACTCTAAAGTTACAGGAAACAAAGATGAGCAAGAAATATCAAGATACTGCTATTAATCAGTACAAATAAAATGGAAGCGTGCAGGTATGTCTTGCAATCAAACAATTCTGTATGAGAAAAGTTTCAAGATTCAAGGACAGATGGTGTAAATGCTATAGTTTTGTACTATCCCCAGATACCATAATATTTTAAACTTTCCAAAAACATGTTAAGGATGCAAGCCTTAAAACGTATTTACATTTCTCCAGGGATTAATCTGACTCACTCTCAGACTTAGACATGGTCTAGACGGTGTCTTACAGATGATTACAAGATGACTCTAGGCATGGATGGAAGGAGAATATTATACTTTGCTCTCTGCCTTAGTTCAGTCAGAAGGTAAAGGATCAATCCCATTTCTTTTTACCAACACTTTCATTCTTTCTGTGTACAACAGAGAAATTCATACTATGGGTAGAAATTTACATGTTATGGATCCCTGACATTTTCAGTGAAAACACATACAAGATGGATTTTTCTCTTATTATTCATATGGTATCCATGATTTATATAGTATTCAAGTAGTTTTGGCCTTTAAACAGCCTGTAGTCCCTGGACTCAAATAGAATATGTCAAAACCCATAATGAACATGGGAAGGCTAAACTTGGCTTCTTAATGATCTATACACAAACTCAATTGATTAGATCTACTAATCATGAAAGATGCAGGTATAAGGAAACTGAGGACCAGGAAAGTGTGACAGTAGATAATATGCAACTAAATGGAGTATGGTCTACTCTTCATGTTGAGATAATGAAGTTGTTGTCTGAATATTTGATAAGTCTTGAGAGATTCTATAACTGTATTAGGCTATGTTTAAATTTTCTTTATACCCTCACAGTTTCTCAGTCTCAATGATAATTTTCTCTCTAATCAAGATGGCCAGCATCTCTAATCTTTCCATGACATAATAAATACCATCTTTTACAAAGCATATTGATTTAACAAATAGCTTTCAAGAACAAGAGATCATTTTTATTATTAAGAGTTAAGTAGTTGAAGGATTTGTGCAAAGGTGTACAGCATACATAAGAAAGTACAGGTGTGGTTGTTATAGTTTTCTTAGGTAAAATCTCTGCCTAGGGTCAGACTTCCCTGGTGTAGGAAAAGTGAGGCATTTGACATTTATAATCTGCACATATTATTAGTTTCAAATCAAAATCAAATGGTTAAACATGTCAAAGAAATTGTATACTTTTGTTCAACAACATTTTAAAAATCCTGTGACCTTGAGTCTCCCACATATGGAAAACTTATATGCTGCCGAAAGATGGCAGGTTCCTTCAGGGGAAATATCCATGATTGCTAGTAGTTCTCAGCCCCATGGTAAAACAATTACCAATTCTTTAAATCCTCAGAGTGCATACCTACTCATCAACAATTTTGTTTGTTTGTATTGTAATAGGAAGGTGAGGGTTCAAGGAATTAATCATCACACTTGGTCACTAACCCATCCTAGCAAGAAGGGTACTTCAACTAGCAATAGCCAGGCTGCTATTGTTCCTGCTCCCTGACCTCAACAATTCCCTTATTCAAATACTAAAAGTGTGTTATTGCTCCAAGCAGTGGTGGCATGAACCTTTAATCCCAGCAATTGGAAGGCAGATGCAGGCAAATCTCTGTGAGTTTAAGACCAGCCTTGTCTACAGAGAGAGTTATAGAACAGGCTTCAAAACTACAGAGAAATTCTGTCTCTAGCCCCCCCACCCCCAATGTGATAATAAAAGGAAAGAAAATGAGAACATTTGTTCATATATGTTAGAATCCTCAAAAAGAACTCTATTGACACCAATGCCACTGATGCATTTAACTGACAAATTTTCTCTAAGAAAGTATTGTTAAGTTGACAATGAAGTAAGGCTTCAATGAGTTAAACTGAAGTTGTACTATATACATTTCAAGTAAGAGTGTGAATCTAAGATTCACTCACCTCAAGCCCTCATTCTTAACCATTATGCCCCAAAGATACAAGAACCAATTCTGCTCCTTTCCTCAAAGGCATTATACATTTGCCTCACAAGTCCCATGACATCTCTCTCCTTGCATCCTTTCAGAGATGGTTTTCATCTATTTGTCTGTTAGAGAGTGCCTATCATGGGCATCTATTGTGATTCCTACTCATGTTGATATTAAAGACAACACTAATCATTGCTCTTTACCTGTACTTGCCAAAGTGAGCTACTCTACTAGAGGCAAGAGGAAAAAAGTTATCTAGATCCAGAAACATACAATTTTGAATGCAATGTTTTTCAGTGTATTTTTGTTTTAATATTCTGTAACACTAATGAATTACAAGTTAATATATAAGGTTCAATTAGATGCATCAGTGTGAAAATCATTTGGGCCACTGAACACTGACAGTATTAATATCTCTTTCACCTGTGTCAGGTCCTGTGCACTTCTATTGAGTCCCATCAAAAGGCAATGGAAACAATCAAGCAACATATGTCAGGAGAAGGATGGTAGAACACAGATGAAAAACAATACAAAATCAATTTGATTTCATATTAGAAGAAATATTTAAGACTGGTTGCTATTATTTTAACACACTTTCCTTCTATGGAATCAATTTTCCATTTCTAAAATATTTGGAAAACTTGCTCTGTACATTTATTAATAACAAGTAGATACGGTAGAACACCATTTGATGCAAACACCACATGTATCTAATATGCTGTGATTTATTTATTTTAAAGCAATCTCCTATCATGATTGCTGAAGGAGAATACCTTCTGATAGCAGTTATCAATATTTCACATGCCTGGGATACGTGCTGTAGTCTCTGGTATCTTCAGTGATGGCTCTTCCAGGAGACTCTGATAATATACTGTCAAAAGCTAAAGATGTGCAGGATAAAAATCAAAAAATGCTAGAAGGAATTAAGACCTTACTTAGCAAGATAAGCAGCCAGCTCTTCACATTCCTTTGCTTATCTCCTGCCTGAAAGAAGTGATTTTTATAATGAGAAAAAACTTTTACAATATTCCATTTGAAAGAATAAAATTTAGGTACCCAATTTGTTCATAGTTTTATTTTTAAGGGTCTGCTTGCAAATCCAAACTCCTCTCAGCTTCCTTAGTGAGAAAGCTAATACTAGTGATCTCAATAGAATGTAACTTTATCTTATAATAATTTAGATAATACCTTTCTAGGTGGGGCAGATATTCCTTCTAACAGTCATGCTTGGACCCTATGCATCTCAACACATTCAATGACATTTTTTCATGTCTAAAGATTTGGAAAATATATATAATATGGAAAACAGATTTACTTGAAAGATGGAAAAGGATCTGGAACTCTTCTAGATCCCTAAAGTATAGAGGACACATCAAGGAAAGTAAATTCCCTGAACTGAAAGAACTGTGCCTTCACATTGCCTTTTGATTAAATCTATATCTATAATCAAATAGCAATTTTCAGATTTTTCATATCTATTCCTGCATGGATGTACCTCATCTTGGATCAATTGAGCATAAGAAAATATATAGACATCTCTTCCTGTTCTCCATGGCTATTGTATTCATAATACCTTGGTTTTGATACATGAAAATCCTTGATTTTTATTTCTCAATTTCTTCTAAAGTTCATTTAAAAATTAGAAAGATTATTCACTGATCTTTCTGTAGGTCTTTCTATAGGTTCAGTCTGTAAGTACTTTCGTTCTAATTATAAGGGCCCGAGTGGTCCTCGAATATATATATATATGTGTGTGTGTGTGTGTGTGTGTGTGTGTGTGTTTCCCTTGTCTTTTCAATTCCAAAACCAGGGAGGTAGAGAAAAGGAGATCTGTGGTGACTTTTTGGAAAAAAAAAAAAGGAGATGTCTCAACCACACTCCAGGGATTCCATGGTGTGTGTGTGTGTGTGTGTGTGTGTGTGTTGTTGTTGTTGTTGTTGTTTTGCATATTTTATATAACCAAGTACATTTAAATGAAAACAAACATTTATAGACAATATTTGGGAATTTTGGCGTCTTTCTTTCCAAACTACTTCCTGCTGGTAAGGGGCGCTGTCATGGGGGATTCTAAGAAGATGCAGAAATCCTGGCTGTAGTAAGGCTGCTTTGTCCAGCTGTTTTGAATGTAGGATCACCTGGTACTCTGTTTCAGGCAGTCTGGTTTGATCAAACCACATTATTCTGGAAGGAATCCACATCTTTTCATTTTCTGTGGAAACAAAAATAGAAATCCTTTTCCCCAATAACTTGTCCTTGAACTTAAATTTTGGAGTCAAAGCATTTTTTTAAAATTTAATTTATTATTTTACATGTCGATCCCAGTTCCCTCTTCCTCCCTTCCTTCCTCCCTCCCTCCTTCCCTCCCTTTTACTCTCTCTGCCCTCTCACATGCACTCTAACCACCCTCCCCTCCCATCCCCCACCCCAATTCCATATGTTGGGGAATGCCATCCAGTTGGGGTCATGTAGGTCTGACAGGTCATGTGAAGTAGGGACTAGGGCTTCTCTCCTGTCTCTAGATTAAAGCAGTTATCCCTCCATGGGGGATGTGTTCGCAAAGTCCTTTTGTGCACCAGGGATATATCCTGGCTCCATTGTCTGAGGTCCCTTAGACTACTCAGTCCTCCTCACTGAGACCCATATTCAGGGGGGCCTGAGTCAGTCCCATGCTGGCTTCCAAGCTATCAGTCTGGTGCCAGTTAGCTCCTCCTTGTTCAGGTAAGCTGTCTCTATGTGTTTCTGCAGCCTGGTCTTGTCCTCTCCATCTGCATCTGAGTTCTTATTTAAATTTGAAACAAGCTTGTTGTACATGTCAATCCCAGTTACTGTACCCTCCCTTCCTCCCCTGCCCCCTCCACCAACTCCTATCCCA